CCCCCCTCAGCCTGTCGAGGAGCACTAAATGATTCACCTTGCCAAAAGCCTTACTGAAGTCAATTTAAATGACGTCGACCGACTTGTCTTGGTTCAGTGCTTGCAACCATTCGTGCATCGTCAACAGTAAGTTGATGACGCACGAGCGGCCTTTCACGAAACCATGCGGTGCGGACGTCAAGAGGCTTTTCGACTTGAGAAACTGTAGAAGACTCTTCGTCCCGATCTTTTAGAGCGACTTTGCTAAAACATCGGTCAGGCAGATAGGCCAGTAGTTACCCACTTCTTGAGTTACCACCTTTCGGTATTGGCTTTACGACTGAGCATTTCTAGTCGCCCGGTAATAGTTAAGTGGAAAGTGACCTGAACAGTTCAGTTACAGAAGACGAGATGATGGCCGATAAGTACTTGAGGATCAGCAGGCTTCGCACCGTCAAGAATTGCCAGAAGCTTGAGTACATCTTTAATGCTGCAATCGAGGCTGCCTAGTTCAGCGAGAGCGGTATTCGTCGAACTCGGTATAGACACCATCATCATCATTATCAATAGCAGTACATCGGCTCCTCTTTGGAGAGAGTCACGGACTTGGACTACGCCGATGATATCTGTTATAATCTTCTCACTAGACGCAACTCCAAAAATAACAATTCACTGATCCACAAAACTTCTAGCCCAACCGAAGGAAAAAAGCAGAACGCCAATGACCTTGACAAAATAACGCATTAATCGACGCCAACGAACAATGTACAACGACTGCGGACCATGGTTGTATTTATAGGTCTCTACTGACCTTCGACTTATAGAATTTGAAGGTCAACTACCAAGGTTAGTGGTTCCCCATATCTTTTGCCGAGGGGTCAGGTGGATTTTAATCACGTGCAGAAGCAGAACATTCCGGAACGTTCGAAATCGATGCGATAATCGTTAATAATCGATTAATCGCTAAAATAGTGGATTTGCAAGGCAATTCTTACTTTCTCCCGGACACCTCCCCACCTGAGATATCGTTCGAGGTATAAGACGAAAGCCTAGGATTAACTTGCAGTCTTTGGGACGGTGTTCTCTGCCTGTCGTTCCACCTCCTTGGCAGAAGCGCCCGAGAACTTTGTTCTGATGTGCTTGTTCGGGATTCTTTGCTCGACTGTGTGCAGTCGTCCACTGTTACCTTCGGAAGGTTGAAGCTTTCCACCAGTAAATCGAACGGGAGGTCAGTAGGCCTTGCGTGTTCTGGTTGGCACGATGTGATTGCTTTTGACCGCCCCTGGCGTCCATTTCGCATGGCCTTCCCGGTAGTCACGTACTAGCACCTTCTGTCCAAGCGTAAAAGATCGCTTTTTTGCTCCATGTCGCCGGTTAAAATCCTGTTCCATTCTGCGGTTTCTTTCACCAACAGAAGACTCCGAGCGCGGTCGGATGGCGTCAAAAGGCATGCGGAGCTTCCGGTTCATCATGGCCTGTGCTGGAGAGACTCCGTCTGGCGCTTGTGGATTCGGTGTTGATCGGTAGAGGAAAAGGAAACAGTCAACCACCTCCTCTATACGTCCCTCCCCTTTTGATTCGTGCAGAGCTCGCTTGAATGTATTGACAAACCTTTCTGCCTGGCCATTCGACTGTGGGTGAAACGGCGGCGAGCGAACGTGCTGGACGGCGCATTGATTGCAAAACTCCGTAAACGTTGCTGAAGTAAATTGTGAGCCATTGTCGGTGACAATTGTCTCAGGACAGCCGAATCTGCTAAAGGGTTGGCGCAGTTTCGATATGGTGGCATTGGTGGTTGTGTTCTCCATAAGAAATACTTCAGACCACTTGCTGTATGAATCGACTATAATGAGGAAACTTCGGCCGTTGATCGGTCCCGCAAAATCGACATGGATGCGGCACCATGGCTTAGTAACTTTTGGTCATGAATAGAGTGCTGATTTTTGTGGCGCTTTCAAGGCGTTGGCACACTGTTGGCAGCGTTTGGCTATTTCTTCTAGCTGTTTGTCCATGAACGGCCAGTATACATAACTGCGGGCAAGCGCCTTCATTCGGTTGACGTTAATGTTAAAGGTTAATGTAACGTGTAATGTGGTGAAGTGACTGAAGGCATGTGACACCACCGAGTGAGGCCCTATCTATCTTTGTTAGTGGCTGGCCATGGTAGCTGTAATGCTTGGACATGCTAGAGAACAGTCGTTGCTTTCTCATTCCGAGAGAAGATTTATGTTAAAAGGTACTGATTTGTGGCCTTTGACCTCAGATTCACAAAGCAGTGGGGAGCAAGTCTGAGTAGAGACAAGGAAAACACAGCCCCGGAGGGTTGATTCAACGCAACCGTCAGGATGAGCTATCTACCATACGACCCAAGTAAAGCAAAGATGAATACCGTCGGATTTGAATTGTTGTGACCAGGGCTGTCTGAGTGTTGTTAAATTGGTGTGTGATGTCGACTGACCAGCTACTCCACAGTGAGCACCGTATCCGCGTCTCGAAGGCAGCGGCGGCATTCGGGAAGCTGGAATACCGAGTGTGGAACAACCATCAGCAGACCGTTGGCACTGAGCTGATGGTGTACAAATCCATGGTGCTGTCCGTTCTTCTATACGGCAGTGAAACCTGGACGATGTACCGGCGGGATGTGCGATATCTCGAGCGGTTCCATCAACAGTGTTTGTGACAGATTCTGCGCATTAGTTGGTGCGACAGAGTGACGGACATGGAAGTGTTGCATCGAAATGGAATGTATGCAGTGGACTGCATACTCTTGCTAAGACACCTGAGATGGCTCGATCATGTGAGCCGTATGGATTCGACGCGGATACCGAAACAACTATTATGTGGTTAACTGAGCGTTGGGAAGCGGCATGTGGGGAAACCGAAGCTTCGTTACCAGGACATGATCAAAGTGAGCCTCTCACGTTCTAAGCTTGATTGCAGGTCATGGGAATCGAAGGCGGTTCATCGGTGTGCATGGCGCGATCTGATCACAAAGTAGTTGCCAAGGTGCAGGAGAAATATCTTATGCATGCAGAGAAGCAGCAAGTTCGGAAGCGACAGGTGCCGATGGTGTGTACTCCATCGACATCGAGCGCATGGTGCTGTAGCACATGCGGTCGAGAGTCAGGCAGGTTTAGTGAGTCACGAGTGAGGCCACCCGGAGCCAGCATCGAAGCGACGACGGGTCCTGCAGAGAACGTAGGCAGAACCGGCGCAGCGTTTGTAGGTATGTTGCATTCGATTTACTAACCGCTTGCTTGCATGCTGAGTCTCTTTATTTAAGGTGGTGGGTTTGCTATATTGTCACATTGTTGCCTACGTGAACTATCTTCTATTAACTTGCACACGTCGCTTAAGATAATTGTAGTTAACTTTGATAACCTTTTCGTGTTTGTGGCAGTTTCCTAAAATATATTTTCTAATGTCTTGAAACGATAGCGGATATTTGGCAACCAATTTATTTCATATGCTCGTTTATTAAAGATCTATGTCGGCATATCTGCATGCATTATTCGATTAATTTATTTGATATTGTCGTTAAAGTGATTGGCTGTAGCTTGATATCCCCGGTGTGGCTGCGCTTGATGTGCATGTTGACAAGGTGCCTACCTGTCTAGTACCCACTACCTCGTCCATATTAACTCCAGGAGACAGCTGATCGTTGCTGGAGGGGACGGGATGCAAGGTCCTTGTGGCCGTGTTAGGATCAAAGAGTGGTTCCATGCACTCAGTGTGGAGCGGACTACGGTCCAGCCACCGCCTTGTGTGCGCTTGGTTCCCCAAATACATCGTGCTTGTGTTTGCCTGTGAAGGAGTGTGGGCCGGCTCCGTTGATGAAACGTGGCTCCCATCCACATGCCTCCCGGTCTTATTCCTTCGGGTTTACACTGGATATGGGGTGTTGGTTTGGAGCTGTTGGTGGTGCAGCGAAAGCCACCCATGGTCCCTTTGTAGGCGCAGGCGTCCTGTGGCTGGTCACAGTGACAGGCAAATGCGAAACCTGATGCCGCCAACCATGTGTAGTGCCCCCCCTCACGGTCGGAGACAAGACCATAGCGCTCGTGTCCGCAGTCAATCGATCCGGACTGGCAACTAGTAAGTTGATGTTTCTCTTGGCTATGAAATTTCCTTAAATTTCGATGACGAACATGTTACGATCGGGCTTATCTGACAATCGAGATGATTGGCAATAGCGACCCTGAAGATACATGGAAATTACTGTCTGCTCTTGCTCAATAGACCGCAGACGCATGTGAGTGATCGTGCAACAAACTGGTTAGTTTCGTCGCAATGAGAATCCCCACGAGAATAAAAACTTCAAAAGCGCAGCACAGTGGCCATATACTGGTGTGGACTTGGATAACTGCAGTACAAAACTAAAACATGCCACCGATAACTTTCAGGTGAGAAGCAGCGTGTATAGCTGAAAAAGGATACCCCGAAATGGAACATTTGAGGACTAATTGAAACAAAGGCGATCTGTAGTTACGAGGCACCATAATAACAGACCTACTTATGGAGGCTGATAGAATAAAACAGAAGAACAGATACACATGGTTCACTAAGGTCTAGACAAATCTTCTGGAAGCAAAATTGATGCTACAAAGCGTGACGGGTGATTGTACGACATCGTGAGAAGCGTAAAGTTCGAGATTAAGGAATAGCTAAGTCGAAAGACAGCTATGAAATACGGACGGATAAATTAACGCTGCGCAAGTTTGTCCTCAAATTCTTGTATAGGTGGTTTATACGATTTAAGCCTTGCTGAAAAGCGCCGAGTCAATTGTTGGACTAACGAATTTACTGATACCGGAAGTGGGTTACCTGGAAAACGAGTGCGCGTACCTGTATGGCTTTGGGTACATCTCGCCCAGAGAGTCTATACTCGAATAAGTACAATATTTTAATCACTGTAAAACCCAGGCACTTAAGTCAGCGGGCATGATACAGACTTGGCAACCTGAACCATACTGGCTGCGAATGCTCTAGCAAAAATCACTGTCATTGCTAGAAATACTAACCTTGACGGAATACGAGTTCTTTCCATCGAGTGCCAAAGCATCATCCCCGATGTAGAAATTGAGATCGTCCAACCCGGTGCCAAGACGTCGTGTTTCTCTCGCTCCCACTTTGCTGTACTCTTTAACAGCAATGCATGAGGGGAAGATAGTTTGTGGTTCGGAATTCCCGGCGTACCCAATTTTGGAATAGCTGGAAAGTTAAAAAAATTAGGAGTGACTGTGGACAGAGATGAGGGGTGTAACATTTTAATGAAAACAGAAATCAACCATATGAATGCATAAAGTGTGCTCGGTTTTGACAAAACCTGACCAAATTACTTAAAAAGAAATGAGCTGGACAAAAGAGCAGCAGCGCGAAGGTTTCAGGTTAAAAAGCATTAATTATATGCGGCAAACCGAATGCTGCTTAAGTCTCGCAATGCCTATATAGATAGAAATGAACTAAAACAACACAAGAACGAGTAACCTTTCCATCAACTCAGTTAAATTAATTTACAATAAGTCAGCTTCCAAAGAGGGTGAATCCGGTGGTCACAAATCCTACCAACGTGGGAACAAAAGCGAACATAGCAAACGAAAACTATAGCAGACCGAGTTACAGGCAACCCAAATGAAATATAATCCGAAAGAAAACCCGCAATCATTGTCCAGTGGAAGAATTAAAGGTAACACAAGATCAGATAGAGGCAGGTAAATGAGTTCGAAACCGTAGCAGAATGGGTAGACTATGCGACGACTAAAATAGAAGGTACAGAAACCCAAACATAGGGCTATCAAATTATACTATAAACATTTACTCACATATGCCACACATACCGCATAATAACTTGGCCTCTGCCTTCCTCCAGCAGGATACAAAAAGGAGGAAATTGAAGACGGTCAGCATTCAAGCGGAGAAGTAAATTCTAACACTAGTTAGTAGTACACATATCCACCGTCACGAGACGACCTTAACGTGGTGAGACGGTTTGCGTACCTCATTGACACATTGAGCTATACTGGGTGATGCCTCCGGGCACCTTGAGAGCTAGGGGGTTGGTCAAGGGTGAGAGGTCAGACAAACTCACTGTACTGGTCCTCCAGGTTGGGGGGTTGAAATCGGATGGCGTCCATTTCTGTAAAACTAAATCACTGCCACCTACCCGCTGCCTTGCGAACAGGCTTTTGAGCCAAGGGCTTTGGATGAGGACCGCAATCGTTCTCCAGTACACCTCGCCGAACCGGCAGTATCTCAGCCCACATATAACCATGACATTTTCTTCAAACATAAACTTCATCGTACATCGGCCGTCGCGCAGATTATCAAGTGTCGCCTTATCTGCTGCATACAGCAGGGCGGATAAGCGAAAACATGCTACTGCTGACGCCACCCTTCTTTCGTTTTCACCTGTTTCTCTTACTCCCATCCCGACCCCCATTACTAATCTTCCTTCTATAATTCCCAGTTTATTTGACAGCAACCGAAGTGCCATTGGAGCAAAACCATCAGCAGCCACCATCCCACCACACCAATCAGACGCCTTTCGGCAAAACTCCCTTATAACGCCACGCTATCCAGTTCCCATGACGACATACAACGTTCACACTGTAAGAAGCTCCACTCACAAGCACCTTGGACACACTGCGCATTGATGTGTGTTGTGCGCCCGAGACTAGAACCAATGACCCTAAAGGGGTTATTGACTTAACTGCACCCGGCTTATCCTCTCGTTATTGGTTGCACGCACCCGGAGACGCTGATGCAGCACTCACGGGTCAAGCTGGTGTAGGTATCATGCAAAACTCCAAGGCTGAGCCATCGTTGGTTGAACGAATTCCGGTGAACAGCCGTTTTTGTACAGCCCGTTCGACAACAGCAGCTAAGGTGGATTCACGAAGTAGTACAAAACGTTGTCCGTTTGTGATTTCCGTTGATGCTCTCACTGACTACAGTTCTAATGCTGTCAAGGACATATTCTATCACGAACTGAACGCCATACTACGCAGTGATACTAGTTCAGATATTATGGTACTTACAGGGGATATGAACGCACAAGTAGAGCGTCTGAGCTCTTCAGAAGCTTAGCTGGGTGGTAATTATGAGCTTAACTCCGAACGGACTAACAACGGTGAGCGTCTACTGCAACTGTGTGCGAAACACCAGTTGTTCCTTAGTAGCACTGCCTTTAGACACAGTGGGCGCCGAAGTGCAACTTGGCGTCCTCCTGTAGTTGGCCAGCGATGGACCCATATTGACCACATTGCCATAAGTTACAGATGGCGTGGTTCCACCCTGGATTGCCACTCGCACTGGAGTGCCTGCGTTGACTTTGATCACGTATCGGTACGCTGTCGTTTCTCCATGAACGATACCGGGAGGCGAACCAAGCGTCTCCTCCAATTGGCAATTGAAAAATTGTCTCAGCTCTCGGTCACGCATACCCATCAAGACGCACTGCATACCGAACTCCCGCTGTCTTGTCCCAATGACACAGAGCTTCAGTGGAATAGAATCTTGGCCGCCATGCACGACGAAGGAGCATCTGCTTGTGGCACTATCCATCGTCACCGCACCAGTCACTGGATATCCGAGACGTCGGTGAACCAGTCAAAATCTAAAAGAAACCTCCCGGCTGGCGCTGAACACAATGTGACCAGACGTGCTATTAGGCGTGAACTAAAACAGAGCCTACGTGATGACAACGAAGCCTGGTGGATAAGTCGGGCTCAAGAAATGGAGGAGGCAGGAGCAGTAGGCAATTACCGCAAGCTCTTCCAGCTAATCCGCACCACTGGTCCCAGAAAACCAGGCGTCAGTGAGACAATCAGAGACGGCGCGGGTGCGCTGATACACAATAAGGAGCGCCGTATGGCTCGTTTGGCGGAACACTTCCAAGATCAGTTCAGCTGGCCCCCTGCTCCCGGACCTCTTCCCACTCAGGTGATGCAGGATGAGCCATGAATGGTTAGTTTAGAGCCTCGGTCGGAGGCCGAGGCTCGAAATGCGATCACAGCTCTTAATCGATTTCGTGCCGCTGGCTCGGATTCCCTAACACCTGCACTATTTAAGGATAGACGTGGGGTCCTCTGCAAAGCACTGATTTCCTAATTCGAATGTATCTGGAAGGAATTGTTCCGCCTAATTGGAGCGAATAGATACAAGGGCAGTCGCGTAGACTTTTCTAACCACAGGGGTATTAGCCTAACGCCAGTTGTGACAAAATTACTGGCCTCGATTCTCGTTCGTCGCCTCACTGCGGAACGGGAATCCCGGATTAGGAAAGAGTAGACCGGTTTCCGCCCAGGACGTAGCTGTATAGACCACATATTCACTTTGCGACAGGTGCTAGAGCAGCGCCACGCATACCGCAGACCGACAACAGTTGTGTTCCTCGATTTCAAGAGTGTGTTCGATTCAGTCAATCGACCGATTCTGTTCGAAATACTTGCGCCGGAAGATGTTCCCACGAAATATGGGAACATCACACGTGCTCTATACTCGAACACTACAAGCCACGCCAGGGTATACGGTGGCCTATCGAATAACTTTCCGACCACAAGTGGCGTTTGTCAGGGTTGTCCGATTTCCCCATTTTCGTTCAATTCCGTCATGGATTCCATCATGGAGTGTTTCCTTACGAAATCTCCCGATGTAAGCGTTGAAGTGCTGCCGAGTGAAAGGTTAGTGGACCTAGATTATGCAGACGATATCGTCTTGCTTTTCGACCATGTTGCGACGGCACAAGCAACCCTGAATAGACTGTCCAGAGTGGTCCCATTATTTGATATGCACTTCGCACCCTCAAAGTGCAAAGTGTTGCTGCAGGACCACCAGCCACTTGGTGACCTCTTGACGCTTGCTAACGAAGAAATAGAGATGATTGATCAATTCACTTAGCTTGGCAGCTGCATTAGCAACGATGGGCGCATAGTAACTGACATCAGCACACGCATGGCAAACGCCACAGCTGCCTTCTTGAACCTGCGGAATCTTTGGCGAAAGAAGAGAATCTCCCTCCGTCTGAAAGGCCGGGTATACAAAGCCACAGTGAGGGCCGTTCTGCTCTATGGTAGTGAGACTTGGCCCCTTCGGTCTGAAGATCTGAGGCGCCTTCAAGTCTTTGATCATTGTAGTCTGTGAAGCATTGCTGGTGTCGGATGGTACCAGCGTGTCCGCAACGATGATGTACGTAGGCGAGTACTAGGTGGTGATAATCATGCTAGCTCCCTAGAACAACAGACAGCACTGAGTAAGTTGCGTTGGCTCGGACACGTGCTACCTATGCCTGGTCACCGCTTACCTAGGAGGGCCTTGTTCAGTCTACCAGGTGTAGGGTGGTGTAAGGCTCGAGGTGGACAGAAGTTGACTTGGCAGAGGGAAATGAAGTCACTGACGACCAAACTAGGTGCCGTTGGTCTGTCTCGCCTTCAGGGCTGGAGTACACGCGATTCGCCTTGTGCTTGGCTCGAGACTTTACAGGACATGGCTCGCAACCGACACCAGTGGCGCGTCTGCTGCCGTCTCCTAATCGGATAGCCTGTTTAAAGTGCGTTTTGGTGCTGTGTGGGTAATGGCTGATTATAACGCGGGGCAGTGAAAGCCGCAAGGAAGATGTCAGGCTGCTGCCGCCTTATCTTTGCACGATAGCCAGCTGTCTGCGACGGTATGTTGTCTAGACAAGGTGTAGGCGCCTTGACCCTGAATGGTTGCTTGGGGCATTAAGGTTTTCAGGCAAGTCCGCTTCTATCCCACTTATTATTCTTTATTTCATAAGCCGTCATGTTTGTGGCAACGAAGTATCAGTTCAAGTGGCTGACGTGAATTAGTTGACTGATAGTAGTGTAGTTATGGTAGTAGCTTCCAAGTCAGATAGCCAATCACTCATCCGTAGAGGTTTCGACTTATTGTGACTGAATTATGATGTACACAATTCGTCTCCATCAGGAACCGAACTAGTGACCACACGAGACTATCGTTTGCGTCACTAACCGGTAGTTGATGCCACTAGACCATCGCGGATGGCGATGTACCGTCATGAATTATAAGCTGACTGCGATATAGAGCGAATCGTCCCCCCACCACAGGGGATAGGGTTAGCCCTGGAGTTACAACATCCCACAACATTAGTCACGTACGATTTAGTGTTTAGAATCTGCTGGGCGAACAGTTTGATAACTTAAGAGTAGGGGGTTTTTGTTGCTGTTAATTGA